TATATATATATATATATATATATATATATCACGTCCGACGCCAGACTGTGTGCCAAGAAAATCATGGTACAATAATCTTCATAAAAAAGGACAACGTTCCGTGATCTGCATGTGGGCTAAATACTGCCAGGTTGCCCAGGCCAATGCAGACGAATTTTCTTGAGGAATCCACAACCGGAGCCTTCGGTTAGCCAAAGCCTGACCCGCGAAGCAGCGGGCCAATGTGTGGAAACCGCGATCCATTGGGAGCCGATGTCCAGTTCATCGGATCGTACGCCCTTTGGACGGGGTTGAACGTCCAAGGTGTCCAGTAAACCTCGATGCCCATGTGAACCGGTTACCGCTGTCACAACCAAGAGGGTGTGGGTGAGTGTGGTTTTTACCCCTCGTCTTGGTTGGTTCGGAATCAGGGTTTTGGGCCAACTCCTCTAGGTGAACTACCTGTGGTCCACCAACCCAGTTATAACCCCGAATGTTGGCTCTTCGTTCTCTCATTTCGGTTGGAAAACACTTTCGCCACGAGAAGACATTGAGTAGTACTTCCTCTGCAGAAGCATTTTAATACATTTAGTCGTATGGGAGCATTTCTTGAAGTGCAAGGGGACGGTGATCAGCCGCAACCCCAGACACCCATCCCCGACAATACTATGGCTTTCGGAGGCCTCGATGTGTGTCTCTCATTCGGGTAGAGATTGTAACAGGCACGAGATCCCAGTAGTACTCAATTAAGACAAACAATATAGCGAACAAGCTTGTTTTCATAACTTCGTCTTCAGGCGCTTACAGCTGTGTTTATACTTAATGTAGAAATAAATGTGTTTGGTTCATTTCGGTTACATGGGAAACAACCACGTCTGTCAACTTCAATACGGGCAAATGAGTGGAGGGGGGGGCTCAATTCTGGAAATTTCTGCTTACCTTTTTCATGTGCGACGTGTCACGCCATGTTGCATCATCACGGCATGATTAATGTCATGGTTCGGTTCGTCACGTATGTTTGGGTGGCGTCAAGGCAGCTGAATTGTGGCAACCATTTTCTTCTGTTGGCTTAATGGTGGGTTTAGAATTTTGATT